ATCCTTGCCTTGTCTGGCCTACACGTGACTCCAGACCAACTGGAATTGGTTGACATTTAATATTTGACATTTGGGCAACTGGGGATGGGCATGAAAGGTGACCTTGTCAGTGATGCCCCACATTCCATGCAAGAATAGCAGTGTTATAGAGGTGGAGTTAAGTGGAGATAGCCCATTAGTGCCTTTGGATTCACAAAAATCCATCAATTTAAAATTATTATTGACGTCACTACAGAAGAAAGTTACAAATGTGCACCACCTTTTACATTTAGCCATGTTTCTTAGTTTTGCTCCTGAAAGGCCTGTCTCTGGTTTTATTGCACTTCCACCTATGTGTCTCTCATCAAAGACTTCTGTTCCCATTCAGATGTTTATGTAAATATCAGAGGAAGGAGAATTAACATTTCTGTAGAATAAAATCCACGAATGTTCCTGCTTCTCTCTTCTATTCATTGACTTTTTCAGTGCCAGCCATTCATTAAAATAATTCCCAATAAAGATTTTTTTCATATTCCTGCAGACCTGTAAATCTCCCAGCATTTCTGTCTGACTTGTCAAAATAAACTGGCTGAAGAAGAACACATAACAGAATCTGACAAGCTGAGGCAAGTTCTTGATCAAAGCGTTGGGTTTAACACTATTAAATATTTAGAGGCTTATTCTTCTGGAACTGTTTATACTTTAATCCAGGTTGGTGAGCAAAAAGCAAAGGGTCTTTCTTATTCGCGGTTGTCCCCATGATGCAAGCTATGCACAGAAGACTCTTGGAGCCTGCAGTTAGTTTGCAAAAGGAATTTTCTTTCATTTGTCAACAGGATGTGGGCATCCCAGGAGCAGCATTTGCTATCTATCTCTAAATGCCCTTGAGAGGATGATGGTGAGCCAACTTCCTAATTGTGACTAAGTGGTTTGCTAGTCTAGCTAAGGGTCAACCACCAGATTCTCATGGAGGGCCAGGGAGCTGAAACAAATGGGGTTTTTTGTTATGAGAATCCAGCAGCTTCAGTACTGACAATAGCTTTTCTTTTCCTTAGAAAAATAATTCTGAATCTATTCAATTAATTCAATTTAAGTTCTCCAGCTGTGTGGTAGGACTCTTAAGCTTGAGGCTCCAAGTTATTGGACCATGTCTTCTTACTGTAACTTAACTACTTTGCTACTGCCTTCGCTGACTGCAACACAAATTGAGATGTGAGCCAAGTATAAAAACCTGCTAGTGACAGAGATCTGGTGAATGACGATACTGGCGTAGAAAAGATAACACCATAAAATGTAGGAGCTGAACTTGGCCATTCGGCCCATAGAGTATTCTCCGTCATTTGATGATGGCAGATATGTTTCTCAGCCCCGTTCTCCTGCCTTCTCCCTGTAACTGTTGATCCCCTTACTAATAAAGAATCCTTTAAGAAAAAACTGAAAGAACTGCAGAGGCTGTAAATCAGAAACACAAACAGAAATTGCTGGAAAAAGCTCAGCAGGTCTGGCAGCATCTGTGGAGAGGAATCAGAGTCAAAGTTTCGGGTCAAGTGACCCTTCCTCAGAACCTATCTATCTCAGTCTTAAATACGCTCAATGACTTGGCCTCCAGAGCCCTCTGTGGCAATGAGTTCCACAGATTCACCACCCTCTGGCTGAAGAAATTCCTCATCAGCTCAGTTCTAAACGGCCATCCCTTCATTCTGAGGCTTTGTCCTCAGACCCTAGTCTTTCCTATTAATGGAAACATCTTCTTCGTGTCCACTCTATCCATACCTCTTTGTGTTCTGTAAGTTTCAATCAGATCTCCACCCCCATCCTTCTAAACTCTATCAAGTACAGGCCAGAATCTGCAACTACTCCTCATATGATAAGCCCTTGATCCCTGGGATCATTCTGGTGAGGGCAGCATTTATTGTCCCTCCATAAGACCATAACAAAAAGGGTGGCACAGTAGTTCAGTGGTTGGCACAGCTGCTCTACAGCACCTGGGACCTGGGTTTGATTCCAACCTCGGGTAACTGCTTGTGTAGAGTTTGCACATTCGCTCCGCGTCTGTGTGGGTTTCCTCTGGGTGCTCCGGTTTCCCCCTACAGCCCAAAGATAGGTATATTAGCCATGGGAAATGCAGGGTTACAGGGATGGGGTGGGTCTGGGCGGGACGCCCTTCAGTGGGTTAGTGTGGACTTGATGGGCCAAATGGCCTGCTTCTACACTGTAGTGATTTTATGAAACAAAGGAACAGGAGCAGGCCATTCAGCCCCTCAAGCCTGCTGTACCATTCATTAGGTTCACAGCTGACGTGATATTCCTCACACTCACTTTCCTGATTTTTGTGTAATCCTTGATTCCCCGACTGATCAAGAATCTACCTATATCAGCCTTAAATGTACACACAGACTGAGTCCCCACTGCTCTCTGTGGCAATGAGTTCCAAAAATTCACAATCCCCTAAGAGAAGAAGCTCCTTCTCATCTCAGTCTTAAGTTGGCACCCTTTCTTCTGAACCTACACCCTCTGCTCCTAGACTCATTTTCTTTTATTCACTTGTGGGACATGGGCATCACTGGCTGGGCCCAGCATGTATTGCTTATCCCTAGTTGCCCTTGAGAAGGTGGTGGTGCGTTGCCTTCTGGAAATGCTGCAGTCCTCCTGTTGTAAGTAGACCCACAATGCCAACAGGGAGGGAGTTCCAGGATTTTGACCCAGCGACAATAAAGGAATGGCGATTGTATTTCCAAGTTAGGATGGTGAGTGGCTTGGAGGGAAACTTGAAGGCGGTGGTGTTCCCATGTATCTGTTATCGTTGTCCTTCTAGATGGAAGTAGCTGTGCATTTGGATGGTGCTGTCTGAGGATCTTTGGTGAATTTCCAAAGAGGGGAACCAATCTCTCAGCATTTGCCTTGTCAAACACCTTAGGAATCCTGTAATGAGGTAATCTCATTCTTCCAATGAGTAGAGTCCAAACCTAATCCCTAATTGCCCTTGAATTGAGTAATTTGCTTGGCTACTTCAGGAGATGGAGTGAAAAGTCAACCACAGTGATGTGGGTCTGGAATCACATGTAAGGTGGACAACCCAGATGGAAAAAGCAATTACACATGAAAGTAATACTTGGAAATGAATGTACTGGGGCTCCATACAGATGTGTACAAGAACAGTATGTTTCATTTGCCAGTTTCTGTTTTCTGGGGCAGATAAGATTTCCTTCCCTAAAGGATGTTAGCGAACTAGAAGGGGTTTTAAAGCAATTGATAGAAACGTGGAGAATAGGAGTAGGAGTAGGCCATTCAGCCCTTCAATCTGCTTTGCCATTCACTATAATCATGGCTGATCATTCAACCAGTTCCTGCTTTATCCCCATACCCTTTAGTCCTTTTAGCCTAAAAACTATATGTAACTCTTTCGTCAAATCATTGAATGTTTTGACCTCAGCCATTTTCTGTGGCAGAGAATTCCACAGGTTCCCCAGTGTCTGGGTGGAGACATTTCTCCTCATCTCAGTCCTAAATGGCCTACCATGTACCCTTAGATTGTGATCCCTGGTTCTGGACTTCCCAGTCATTGGAAACATTTACCCTGTCTAGTTACCCTGATGGTAGTTTAATGCCCACCATTACTGACGCTAGTTTCAAATCCCAGGTTTATTCAATGGATGTAAATTAACGGGATTTGAAATCATGTACATTGTGTGTTGATGATTGATTTTCTGTCACATGTCCTGAAGTACAGTGAAAAGATTTGTTTACAAGCGGTACAGGCAGATCACAGTAAGCAAAGGATGCACTGATCAAAAAGACATAGACAGGTACGGGGATGATGGTGGTCTTCTGGAAGCAGGTGGGGACTTTGGTTTGTAGGAGGGAGAGGTTGACGATGTTGGTGAATACCTCTATCAGTTGGTCCATACGGGATCTGAGTGCTTGGCTGGGTACACCGTCCAGGCCAAAGGCTGGGCAGCTGGATTACTAGCCCGGTGCCATTACCACTGTTGTGAAACAAGTCCTCACCACTGCTCGTCATGGAGTATGAGCTGCCTGGTAGATAATCTGTCACCATTCACTTCCCTGGTAGCAATCTAGAAAGCCTGCCATGTTTTAGAGGAAAACACTTTAAGGAGAAGCAGTGGGTTTGTGATTATGTCACTGGTCTAGCAATCCAGAACCCCTTTTTGCAGATGGTGACATTTGAATTCAGTGGAAAATCTGGAATAAAGAGCTGGCCATCTGATTGTTACAAAAATCCAACTGGTTCACTAATGCCTTTCAGCAAAGGAAATCTGCTGTCCTTCTCCGATTCAGCCCACGTGTGACTCCAGATGTATTTGTAACGGTCCTCCGAACAATGAGGAAAAAGGGGGAAAAGAATCAGCTGGCCTGAGCCCACGTCAGCAAATTTTTAAAATATCTGACAAGAGGAAGCTCATGTTTTAAACAGGAAATGGTTCATTGCGTGATAACAACCGGGGAACTAATGCAATAGACATCATTACAGAGACTGTGAGGGAGACTGAGAAGTTAGGTTTTAAGATTTGATTCTCACGTTGCTCTCATATACCTCCGTCAGTGTGGCCCCCAAGGCAATCTGTTCTTTTCACACACAACTGAGCGATTTTCCCATCATTAAAATCATTGCAACTCTTTTTTTGACTCTTCTTTTGTTGTCCTTTTTAAACACTAGCCGCCAACAGTAAAACACCCCTGTGACCGATTAGAGATTTACATGCAAAGCCCACTAAGGACATAGCAAGCCATCCCAAATGATGGGACGGTGGGGAGCGAGGGGAGGGACTAAATCAAAATGGAAGAGGAGATAAAGCAATGCAGCTAAGGCACTCTTTAGGATTCTGCCCTAATTTGACGCTGCAGTCACAGATGGCCTAAGTGGACCCCATTACACTGGGACATAGTATCATAGAATTTGCTAGCTGATTGGTTGCATGCTCTGTGTTGAGGTAAGGTGCTGTACATAATGAACGCTTTGCTCTCTGTTCACTAATGGGTTCCCTTTGGCTTCTCTCCAGGTATCAGATCCATACTGGCCTGCAGCACTCCATCATTCGGCCCAGACAACCCAACTGCTTGCCCCTCGACCAGGTGACCCTGCCCCAGAAGCTGCAGGAAGCCGGCTATTCCACGCACATGATTGGCAAGTGGCACCTGGGCTTCTACAAGAAGGAGTGCCTCCCCACGAGGAGAGGCTTCGATACCTTCTTTGGCACCTTGACCGGCAGCACCGACTACTACACCTACGACAACTGCGATGGCCCCGGCGTCTGCGGCTTTGACCTCCACGATGGCGAGAACGTGGCCTGGGAGTACAGCGGGAAGTACTCCACCTCTCTCTACGCCCAGAAGGTGACGAAGATCCTCGCCACGCACAGCCCCAAGGAGCCCCTGTTTATCTACGTGGCCTTCCAGGCCGTACACACCCCGCTGCAGTCTCCGAAGGAATACATCTATCAGTACAGGTCCTTCGGAAACGTGGCTCGGAGGAAATATGCTGCCATGGTCACCTGCATGGATGAGGCCATCAAGAACATCACCTTGGCCCTCAAGAGGTACGGCTATTACAACAACAGCCTCCTCATCTTCTCAACCGATAACGGAGGACAGCCTTTCTGGGGGGGTAGCAACTGGCCTCTCCGAGGCCGCAAAGGCACCTACTGGGAAGGGGGCATCCGAGGCCTTGGCTTTGTCCACAGCCCTTTGATCAAGAAGAAGAGGCGGGTGAGCAAGTCACTGATGCACATCACGGACTGGTACCCCACCCTGGTGTCGCTGGCGCGGGGCAACATGACGGAGAGCCCACCTCTCGACGGGTACAATCTCTGGCCGACCATCAGCGAAAGCAAGAGGTCTCCCCGCACCGAGATCCTGCACAACATCGACCCCTTGCACAGCCATGCCAAGTTCGGCTCCTGGGAAGAAGGGCACAACCTCTGGAATACTGCCATCCAAGCCGCCATCAGGGTGGGAGATTGGAAACTGCTAACCGGGGACCCAGGCTACAGTGATTGGATCCCACCGCAGACTCTACCCACTCTCCCAGGAAGTTGGTGGAACCTTGAGAGGCAGCGGGCGGGTCACCGGAGGTCAGTGTGGCTCTTCAACATCACCGCAGACCCTTACGAGCGCGAGGAGGTCTCCAGTAAGCACCCAAAAGTGGTCAAGAAGTTGCTGGCCAGGTTAGCTTATTATGACAGCACCTCCATCCCAGTGAGGTATCCAGCTGATGACCCCAGAGCTAATCCAGAACTCAACGGGGGCGCCTGGGGACCCTGGGCAAGTGAGGACGAGGAGGATCAGCAGGAGAACGGGGTAGTGAAACATAAAAGCAAGAAAAAGTCCTGCAAGATTTGCAAGCTGAAATCATTCTTCAAGAAACTGAACACACGGATAATGTCCAACAGGATATAATGAATCAGGAGAAACGACTGTGTACATTTGTGCGTGTGAGATCGACAATGAGCTCACCGTTTTGGGGTCTGTCGGTAAAAATGTTGACTTCCTTATGAATTATTTTGGTTGCTTCCCATGCAGTTTACATCGGGATACGAACCTGTCTGCCTCCAGATTTTTCCACACTGCTTCTCCCCCCTCTTCCCTCTCTCAAATCCAGCACTGGGATTTGATTTTTATCAACACACATTGCACAGTCTCGGTTTGCATTCCCTTCAGCACAGAAAGGAATGATCCAGTTGAGGTGTTAAATACATTCAAAGAGTTTAATAGTTTCTCTATATCCTCCTATTTCTTCCAGGGGGTGGTGCAGAGTTGTGGAACAAGGAGAAACAACGTGAAAATGAGAATGAGTCTGCCAAGGGGATCCTCTGTGTTCTCCTTTGTGTGCTCCTGTGTGGGACATTCGGGGGTTTGTACACTGATTGCAGCTTGTGAAAGATCTCATACATACCTTTTCTGATGAAGGGTCTAGGCCCGAAACGTCAGCCTCTCTGCTCCTATGATGCTGCTTGGCCTGCTGTGTTCATCCAGCCCTGCACCTTGTTGTCTCATACATAATGCTGTTGTGACCATTATGAGTGTACGCTCGGCTGTCGGTGGGTTGAGTTCCAAAAGGTTCTTCCATTGATTTAACCGTGTAAGGGCATCCTGTCCCATTGTGGTTACCTCTCTGTCAGACTCCACTAGTTTGTTTCAACCAACTGTTCTCTTTCAGCTCAAATTGTTCTGTTCAATTCAGCAGGCAAACTGCAATTTCAAACATCGATGTAATTGCCGAGGTTTGCACCCATCCAGTTTGCACATGACAAACTGGTTTAACCCTTTCCATTAACCCTTTGCCTACTGCAGCGACACCAGCGTCCTAAGAGTGAATAGAATTAAGAAAACAGGGCACTTGTTTGAACCTTGGTGGAGCGAAATGTTCATTTCTCCAGTTGGCATTGTTTCTATCAGACAAATGATGAGATTGTCTGTTAAACGGGTTGGATTTAAAGAGTGAGTAACCCAAATGCAATTTAATTGTCAGTGTAAAACCTGAAGTTCAGTTGAGTGACTCAGTTGGGGCTATTCTGATACTGTGGAATTCTTGGGAAATAAATAAAGTCAACCAATTATTTTTTAAAAGAGGTTTTGATGATGTGTATTGACTATAATGACGGACACTGGAAAATAAACTGAAACAACTGGAAGACCAGAATAACTGAGCTTAATCTTTCGAGCAATTTTTTTTACCTCTCTTGATACTTTGTCTTTCTTTCCCTCCTGGATGTTTGCAGCAACAGCTACACTTGAAGAGCTCAATGTTATCCAGGACAGGTCAACCTGCTACTTTTGGGCTCAATCCCTGAATCCTCCACCATTGCTGCACTGTAGCTGAATTGTCTGCTATCTATCAGATTTAATTGTGCAACTGCAGCAACATTCAATCCAGAAATAAGCAGCCCCACATAACTGGTACCTTCAGCATTCACTTTCTTCACATCAACATAGAGTAACAGCGGTGTGTACCATCTAGAAGATGCAACAACTCACTAAGGTTCCTTCAGCAGCAACATCCCCCCAAACCCACACATTCTACCACCGAGAGAGACAGGGCAGCAGACACCCAAAGACATCACAATCTCCAAAACAAAAAGGAAGTGCTGGAAAAACTCAACGTGGTCTGTCACGTTCTGAGAAGGGAGATTAAATAAAATAAAGAGTCTGGATCTTGGTGTACGGGGGCCAATTTCAGAGTTTGTGTTCGATATAAACTTTGAGAGAGTTGTAAGCTGTAAGTAGTGTGGAACTCCAGAAGGATATTGACATTCTGGTGGAGTGGGCAGATAGGTGGCAGATGAAGTTTAGTATAAAGAAATGTGAAGTGATGCACCTCGGTAGAAGGAACTTGATATGGAATACTTGGTATGAATGGCTCTGCCATTCAATGGGATCATGGCTGATCCCACACTCCTCATGTCTCATAGAACATAGAACAGTACAGCACAGTACAGGCCCTTCGGCCCACAATGTTGTGCCAACCTATTATCCTACTAAGATCAAACTATCCTGTAAAGCCTACATTTTACTATCATCCATGTGTCTATCCAAGAGTCGCTTAAAAGTCTCCAACATATCTGACTCTACTACCACTGCCAGCAGTGCATTCCACACACCCACCACTCTCTGTCTCTTCCTGAACTCTGACCTGATGTTCTATCAGCGTAAAGACAAGAACAGCAGGTACATAGGAACACATCACCTCAAAACTCATATCATAGCTACATGTCCATACTTGCCAACATGTTGGCTATCTACTCATTGTTGTTGGGTCACCAGCCTGGGTACAGTCACCTCATACCATCATGGTAGCCCCATCATTGTTCAGACAGGTCCATCCCAACAAGTTTCACACTGCAGTGACTGTTTAACAGTATCAAACTACTCATTGTTCAAGAGAAAGGCCCATTCACCACCTCCTCAGGACAACTAAGAATGGATGATCAGTGCTGTTAGCTTGGCAGTGATACGTATATCCTGAGAAAGAACCTATCAAAAAGAAGTTATAATTTTTCAATGCTGCATCTCTTACTGTTGCATTCAGTACTGAGGAGATCTCTCAGTCTCAAGCTATGGAAATGTGACCTTGTACCAATTCTACGTAAGGCACCTTTGGTTTCTGACTGGCGATGTCACATTCCCCTTATATAAAATTATGGGGATAAATATGTAGTAAAGACACAAGCACAAGATAGTACTTATGTTCCCAGCCTGAAAGTAGGTCCCACAGGGCCATGACCCCACCACAGATGGGGTGTAAGGAGATACATACCAAAGCCACCCCAGGCAGGATAGAGATCAAACCTGGATTCCGATGCACACCGACAGCCCAGGCAACAAACCCCATCCCACCCAAATGCCCCACAAGTGTCTGAGTTGTTGTGGTAATACACACTTTTACAAGCATGTTTAACAGGACTAAACAGGGTAAATGCAAGAAGGATATTCCCAATGGCCAGGGAGTCCCAAACCAAAAATCACAGCCTTAGGATACAGCATAAGCCATTTGGGACTGCGAGGAAGAGAGGTGTCTTCCCTCAGAGAGTGGGGAGCCAGTGGAATTCTTTGCCACACAAAGTGGCCAAAACTTTGAATGTTTTCAGGAAGGAGTTAGATATAGTTCTTAGGGCTAAACGGATCAAAGGATATAGGGGAGAAAGTGGGAATATGGGACTGTGGTGGATGATCAGCCATGATCATATTGAATGGTGGAGCAGGCTCGAAGGGCCGAATGGCCTACTCCTGCTCCTTTTGTAGTCAGGACCTGTGGATAGTGATGGTAAAAGCTCCAACGTCTTTCCATCACACGGCTGACCAGGAATCTCTCCCACTCTTACTGCCTGCCATTGGTGTGGGTTGGAAGGATTTGGAAGTTGATACTCACTCTGTTTGGTGGTGGAGATGAACACACCTCCCATGGTCATTAAGTCCTGGACTCAAACCCAGAGCAGCTGGCTCGGAGGCAGGGACACCTTACTATGTACCAGCAGACTTCCCATTCAAAAAACCTCACATTATAAGCTGTACATGCAATTTAGTAAAATTTTAAATGGTAATAGATTCCACTAGGTTAACCTTTTAAATACAGAACTTCCTGCGTATAAAAACTTGGTAATGCTGACCTGCCAAAAGGTTATGGGTTGCTGAGAGGTTGGTTGGAGCTTACAAGACTGAACGTTCAGTTGGGCATAGTTATCAAGGACCATGAAGCAAATGTGGTTCTGGAGTTAAAGGACCGGTTAGTTAACTGATTATGTTGCTGAATGGCTTCCTCTTGTTCTTCATGTCACTTCAGGCCAGGTTTCACATTCCGCTGCCAGTGTGTTTGAAGGCAGGTAGGCTTTCTAAAACCAGCAGCCCACCATCTACGCACCTAGCCCATTTATACCATGCAAGGGTAGTGTTGGTCTCGCCTCTTAGTGGAAAAATTGAGACCATGAATGAGTAGAAAACTAATTCCCACTGAAGAGCCTCCTCTCTCCAACACCAGGATTTAACTGACAGTAAGGTTAGGGTTAGGGTTAGGGTTACGGGCAAGTCCCTGCACAGGTTGGTGGTGGGCAGAGGACACGTGTCCCCTGGACCAATTGGAGGGCACCTCCAGGGTTCTACCACCCACCACCTGCGGTTGCCCTCTCAAACCCTAGGAGCCTGTTCCCCTGATATGGTGGGTTGAATGTTGTGCGCCTCCATCACGAGTGTGTATGGGCAAGGGACTTGAGTTCATTCAACCCATTTCATACCCATCCATCTGCCCTCCCTGTTCTCCCTGCCTTCTCTGAACTTGCACAGGGTAGGGGCAGTGGAGCTGTTGCCTGGTCAGCCTGCCCTTGGGTGTCATTGTGGCATCGCTGGTATTTTATCTCGGCAGAGGGTGGCACGGGAGAGGTGGGTAACCTCAGTGTGCCACTTTTCACTACAGAGGCTTCTGCCAGGCAACAGAGAGATTCACTGTGAGCCCCCTCCATGCTTTGTGAATCCCCTGGTTCCTCCACCCCCACCCATCCTCCCAACCAAGATCATTGTCTCTTTTACCCTCTCCTTGCCCTCTTGAACCCAATCTCCTCCAACCTTGCTAAGACCCCCAACATACAAATAAGGAACAAGAGTAGGTCACTCAGCCCCTCGAGCCTGCTCCACCAATCAATAAGATCTGATCTTAATCTCAACTGTACATTCTAGCATATCCCCAAAAAACTTTCTTCCCCCTTGGTCATTAACAATCTATCTACCTTTGCCTTAAGAATACTTAAACATTATTCATCCATTGTCTTTTGACGAAGGGAATTCCACTTTACTTCATCGTTACTTCAAATGGAAACCTCTTTTTTAAAACTATGACCTCTAGTTCTAGATTCGTCCAAAAGAGGAAACATTCTTTCTGCATTCCATCCCGTCAAGTCGTCTCAGGATCTTTTATGTTTCAGTTAAGTCACCTCTGACTCTGCTAAACTCCGGAGGATATAGGCTTAGCCTGTCTAGTGTTCCCACACAAGGCAATCTGCCCATTCCAGGGAGTATACACTCTTTGATGGGGTAGAACTGCCTATAATTCCAGCAATGGGCACTGCAACCAGCTGTCATTACTGGGTCTACAGGGCCACTATGAAACTGACTGAATCCTCATCTTAAAGAAATTAACGCTTCTCCTGGGGATACATTGCTTTCTGGCAGTGTTTGGATTATTGAGCACGCCAAATTTCCAAAACCACGCTGAAACTCCTTTTGCACATTCTCCCCGTGCTTGCATGGGTTTCTGCCAGGAGTTCCAGTTTCCTCCAACAGTCTGAAGATGTGCAGGTTAGGTGGATTGGCCGAGCTAAATTGCCCCCATAGTGTCCAGGGATGTGTAGGCTGGGTGGATTAGCCATAGGAAATGTGGGATTATGGGGATAGGGTAGGGGCTTGGGTTGGGTTGGATGCTCTTTGTAGGGTTGGTGCAGACTCAATGGGCCGAATGGTCTCTTTCCACACTGTAGGGTTTTGATAGTTCCATGATTTTAGGTTAAGATGAGGTTGAGGGGCAAGGCCTTTGAGACTCATCAAATTCAACTTCCAATCTACTTCTGCTCCTCCATCCCAATGTCCTGGGGACCTCCTGATCTCTGAATGTCCAGCAGCTCTCTGTGACAAGTTGTCCTATCACCCTGGGGCAGAAATCAATCTGTTCTGTTCAGCTCGAGCCTCCCTGTGGTAGAAAGTTCCAGTTTCCAACTTCGCTCTCCTCTGAATCATTAAACTGTTTCTAAATCCTTCCTCCAGCTTTCAAATCAGGCAGCAAAATGAAGGAATAAATATTGCTATCGCCTGTAGAACGACAGTTTTCCACATTTCTGCTGAGGAAAGTGAATTTGATCTGGATCAAACAGCCACAGAAAACTAATTAGGGTCCCCCTTGCTGCAGCTGAGCTGCATAAATATGTCTGTATATGGACAAATTATTCTTTTTTTGCGATCGCTGCATAGACAAGAAGTGTTGCTCCTCTCGGATTGGGAACCGACTTCATGTGTTTGCAAGACAGAAAGTAGTTGGTTCAAATTCCACACTAGAACCTGGGGGTCCAGAATCCACGCTGACACTGTAA